TCAATATGATTTTTGATTTATTTAGGATTCAATATTGTACACAAACATTTGTGTTACAAACACTGATTTTTATAATATCATTATAATGAATGAAACACTAAATATTTTAACCCTCAATATAAGAGGGCTACATGACAAATCTAAACGTTTAAAAACCTTGAAATATTTTAATGAAAAAAATGCTGATATAATTATGTTGCAGGAAACTTTCTGTACTGAAAATTTGACATATTTGATTGAAAATGAGTGGTCTGAGTATTTATGTGTACACAATTGTACTAACAGTACACACAGCAGAGGTGTTTCTACATTGATACATAAACGATTTTCTATTGATATTTTAGACTGCTTTAAAAGTGCTGATGCACGGTCGTTACTTATCAATGTGAAAATTAATGATAATTTATTTACATTTGTTAATATGTATGCACCAAATTCAAATACTGGTAGGGCAGAATTTTTTACACAAATGTCTAAAAAGATCATACAATTTGCAACATTTAACAACAACATTATAGTAGCAGGTGATTTAAATTGTTATCTTACCAAAGATGACAAATTTCCAAAGACAATAGAAACTGACAATAGCAGATTAAAATTAGAAAACCTGATAAGATATCTCAATGTCAATGATGAATTTAAGCATTTTGGCTATACATGTATATCAAAAGGAAAAAATGCTAAATCAAGAATTGATTACATATTATATAATAAAGATGCTCAATTCAAAGTTATATTAAGAACGAAGCATCACTATCCAATGTCAGATACAAGTAAAAATATGCGAGGTCCTGGTTATTGGAAATTCAATAATTCTCTTTTACTTGATAGCACTTTTGTACACGAAGTAAAAGGGTTGATTAGAAATATAAATGAACATGAATTAAACCAGATTAACTCAAAACAATTAAAATGGGAATTTTTGAAAGTCAAAATTAAAGAATTTGCAATTCAATTCTCAATCAAAAAATGTTCAATTTCAAAGAAAAAATTACATGTTCTAAATAAAGAGCTTGATTTAATACAGAGTAGTGATCATACTTCTGACACTACAAAAGCTAGAGAGCTTGAAATTTTATCTATTTTTGAAAAAGACCTTGAAAGCAAAACAAAGGGTGCCATCTTAAGGTCAAAAGAGCAAGAAATAGAATTTGGAGATAAAAACTCAAAATATTTTCTGAATTTAGAAAAAGCACGTCAGGCAAATAATACAATTACATCATTGAAATCAGAAAATGGTATACTTAGATTAGATGAGGATATTTTGAAAGAAGAAATTAAATTCTATAGCGAATTATATAGATCAAAATCCCAACCAACCAATAAAGTAAAAAATTATTTGAATTCTATTAACTTTCCTAATACATTAGATAAACAAGATAATGACATCCTTGAAGGTGTTATCAATAATAGTGAGTGTTTACCTGTTATTTCCAGTATGAAAAAAGATATTTCCCCAGGATCAGATGGTTTAACCACTGACTTCTATAAATGCTTTTGGAAAGATATACATATTTATGTTATAGAAGCAATTAATGAGTCATATGAAGTTGGAATCTTACCAACGTCATTTCGTAAAATTATCATATCTTTGTTATTCAAAAAAGGAGACCGTGAACTATTAAAAAATTATCGTCCAATATCATTATCTAATACAGATTATAAGATTTTAGCTTTTATCTTGGCAAAAAGACTTCAAAGGTTATAGGTAAATTAATTGGTATGCAACAAACGGCTTATATTAATGGTCGTTTTATAGGAAATAGTAGCCGACTGGTATTAGATGTATTTGAATATTTTGAAAATCAAAATCAGATAGGTGGCGCTATAATCTTTCTTGACTTCCAAAAAGCGTTTGATAGTATAGAGTGGAATTTTATGTATGAAACGTTGAAAAAATTTAAATTCAGTGATAAGATTATCAAATGGCTCAAACTTTTATACGAAAAACCTTTCTTAAACATTAAGCAAAATGGATGGTTATCAAAAAATATTGATGTTGAACGCTCATGTCGGCAGGGCTGCCCCGTTTCCGCAATGGCATTTATTTTATGTTGCGAAGTTATGAACTTAGCAATTCAGCAAAATAATGATATATCAGGTATAACTGTTGATGGTAAAGAATATAAGATGTCCCAATATGCGGACGATACTTCACTTTTCATTAAAGATAAAGAGTCATTGAAAAATGCTCTTAATACTATTTCCAATTTCTCAAAATTTTCTGGTCTGAAGTTAAACATAGAAAAAACTGAAGGCATTTGGCTTGGAAAAAATAAGGACTTTGAAAAGAAATGTGAAAATATAACTTTTACTGATGAACCAATCAAATATTTAGGAATCTTTTTAGGACACAACAAACAAAGATGTTATGAATTAAACTGGGAAGATAGAGTAAAAAAGGTAGAAAAAATATTAGACAGCTGGAAGAACCGGTACTTAACACTTTTTGGCAAAGTTACAGTGATTAAATCACTGGCAATTCCAAAATTAATTTATGCAGCATCAGTATTATATGTGCCACATGAGATTATAAAAAAAGTAAACAATCTTGTATTTAAATTTCTATGGGATGGAAAAAAGGACAAAATAAGAAGATCTATAATCATAAATAATATTAATAAGGGTGGAATAAATATGATTGACTTAGAGTCTCAAATACATGCACTTAAAGCAGCATGGATCCCCCGTTTGCATAATCAAAACATGTACAATAAAATCCCTTACTTCTATTTCAATAAATTTCTTCCAAATATAGATGTATTATTCAAGATAAATGATACTAGATTCAAAGAATTTGAAAATGTTCCACTTTTTTATCAACAAGTGCTGGAAGCACATTGTTTATGTAAATGCATCAAAAATATAAGAGATATGAAGCAACATGAACTCTTGCAAGAGGTTATATGGGGAAACAAGTTATTCACCGTCAAAAATAAACCAATTTTCTTTGAATCATGGATCAAAAGTGGAATTATATACATAAAAGACTTGATAATTCAGAACAGGTTCCTTGATGTTAATATGTTATATCAAAAACTTGTAAATAAACAAAATTGGATATCTGAATATTACAGAGTTTTATCAGCCATGGGCACACTGAAAGAAAGATTCAATTTAGAATCTGTTAAGTATACAAATATTCATAATACTTTTAAATTTAATATAAATAATGTGATTATCACTGAATAATCAGAAATCCAAATTCTTTTATGAAATATTAAAAAACAAACGATCGGAAAAATGGTTTATGAAAAGGAAATGGGAACAAGAGTTTTGCTATGAAGCCAATGATGAAATAAATTGGCAAAACTTTTTCTCTACAAAAATAAGTTGTAAAGAAAAGAAAATAGGTAATTTCAACTTTAAAATAATCAACAATATTCTTCCTAGCCTTAGTGATTTATATATATTTGGTAAAAGTGAAACCTACAAATGTAGTTTATGTAATGAATTATGTACCTTGAAACATTTGTTATTTTCATGCTCATATTCTCAAAACATTTGGAAACATATTTATAATATCTCAGGATTAAGAGTAACTTACAGAAAATTGATAATTGGTTACGATGGAAATGACAGTCATACTGAATTTTTAAACTATTTTATAAGTATTGTGTCATTTGTTATATATAAAACATATATTCAAGAACTGAATAATGGTATTAAGCGTAATTTTGAAGGCACTATTAAAACTTTAAATTTTGAAATCTGTACTCGTAAAAATGTATTTTTTAAAAACAAATGGAAAATGATTAAAACATAACTCATTATACATTATTGTAATTAATTGTATCATTGTATTTCTGTATCGTAAAAACCTAAATTGGAATAAACTATATTTGAAAAAGAAAAAAACAACAACATATTTCTCTACATCGTTGTAAAAGTCGGACCTGGCTGTGGCAAAATGGGGACACACCATTAATCTGTGTGATAGAGTATCTCTCAAATTAAGATTACACATTATACATATACCATCACTTTTGCCCCACTTTTCATAATTTGTTTCAAGGCAGAAATTATTCGATCTTGCTAGAAATTTCATTTTAGATCCATAAAAATCAAGGTCATTCTTAAGGTACCTTTCGGTGCGGTTATGGGTTTTAACCTCCTTATATATTTCAAGGGAGGGGTGTTCAGCTACCCTAGTGTGGAAATTATAAATGCTTTGGGATTGAGATATAGTTAAAAATGAGGGGTACCATTCGCTGTCATTCCGAAAAATAACATCATCTAAACCTTTATCTCTTAAAATATTCCGTGCATTTGATGCAAATTTCCAATATGATTCTTTGCCGACTTTTAATAATTTTAGCAAATTCTGTAGGATTTTATGAGGGAGGGATGTAGTTGGTACATTAAAATTTAGGTAGTTCAAATAGTCAATTTGTCTTTTTTCAATCACCTCTGCTATCGGTTTCGAGCCTAAATCCCCCAATATATATGTTCCATATTACAAGTAATTGAACAGTGCTAATTAAATGCTCCGTTTATCAATATCAACAACTTGCAGAATAAGAAATCAAATTTCATAAGATAGAAAATTTGTCTTTGGCTTGGCCTAGTAGACTTTGATTTCATGTAACAAGTAATTACGGTAAACAGTTTAATTAATAACTTCTTCATTAATCAATATGCACCTACCTTTTAGAATTACAAGTAATAAAATTCCATAAATACAGAATTTGTCATTGGCTTGGTAAGCATGCCATATGTTAAAAGTAATGAAACAATTAATCTTTAACCGTCATTTATAAAAATAGCAATCTCTCTGAATCGAGAAATAAAGTTCTAAAAAAATTAGAATTTGTTTTTGACTAGCTAATTCCATGTTCTGTTTTGAAGTGTAAACAATTTATTTAAAACCTGACATTTAAGAATTATTTCAATTGCTGTTTATATATATATATGGAATTGTAATAATCAGCCAGCATGTATATTATTGTTATTATGGCATATAACAAAAGGTTAAATGATTGATAAATCAAGTTTCTTACCCTCCAAACACTGCTATGACGACTCCATTTCCTAGCGCTCCAACGAGGCCTATACTTATCATAACCAATGAAATAATGCCTCGAATTGCTGGGCTTATTTCATCAAACTTATCCCAATGTTTCTTATACAGTGGATAAGTTGAGTGGTAAAACTCTAGAATATCTGTTGCATTGCTGCTGTCGTTGCCTGACATGGTTTGATGCTGCTCCTGCTTGCGTTTAGTTGTAATAGCAGGTTGCATCTAGCTTATATACAAAATCACAATACAACACTCTGCATGTTCTAGATATTAAAGATTATTATTGTATATGTGCTGAATGATCATAAATATGTTAACATCTGGTCATCAGGTGTGTTATGTGTGCATGGGCTTTCAATCTATTGAATGCCCATGGTGTGTGTCAAGAATTAAAAACAATTTTTGGCCTCCGGTCAGTGTTTCATCCATCAAGAAAGCAATTTTCATTTCCTGTCATTTGCTGTATAAGCAGACATACATAAATCAGGTATGATATATAGTATTATGCAATGTATGGTGTTCAATAAGCATAGAATAATGCAGGGACTTATGAATTTTTATGTTAAAGTGTTTATTTTTGAGGCATATGATAAGTTATTACTCGTTTGTAGGATTAATTTTGAGAAAACACCAGTCTGATTGAATATTTGTGATAAACAATTGGACTTTGCCCAGTTAAGAAAGGCGTATTCCTATCGTTGTACCATATAATCTCCGTTATACCTATACTTTTTCAAAAATAAGAGATGAGTCCATTGAAACAACTCTTTATGAGTTATTCTTGCAATTTTGTATGCAAACGCATTTGAGCTGTTCTTTCATAAACGTTTATTTTTAAAGTTTTACTAAAACCATTTTGCGGAATCAATTGAGCTGAAACGCTATTGAAAGCATGTAGGTTATATAACAGGCATCATTGTCACTGTTTAGGGATGTAATGCTGTAAGGCCAAAATATAATTATTATGTTAACATTTTCAATTATCGGTATACGATTTCATAAATGCATTTCAATCAATTCCTTGTACAAGGGTGGTCAAAAAGAAATGTAAACCCTGTCGCCATTTTCCTCATATCTTTGTCATTTTAGGAAATAACTCCCTGATATTTAGCACATTTGTACATCATTCAATTTCCTACCTGCCTATCATATTTCATGGCCATCAAATTGATAGTCACAATGTTACACCACTTTAAACAACATGCTCCAGTGTCCAATATTCGGCAAACCTGCACCCATCATCCAAAATGTCCCTACCTAACTTTAACCTGTGGTGATACACCCAAAAAGAGTGTACGAGAATAACCCCAGGACAACTGCAGACCTCAAAAAGGAGATCATCCATGCCATTCAGGCCATACCTGCTGAAAAATGTAGTCAGATCATTGGCAACCTGTTCAGATTTGCCAATAGTGCGATGGTGGCCACACTGGGGCATCTTCTTCAAAGTGCTGTACCATTGTGACTATCAATCCTATGATCATGAAATATGAATAACTGGTATGAAATTGAATGTTGTACAAATGTATAAAATATCAGGGAGTAATTACCTAAAATGACAAAGATATGAGGAAAATACAGTGTTTCCATTTTTTTGACCACCCTGTATATGTAATGAATAATATTGCAGTGCTCTTTCCTCAAGGATTTCTTTTTGTGAAGTCCAATCAATTAAAAATATTTATGTGGCTATTGGAATGCGTGGCAATGTGGCACTAATGTATATTTTTACTTTGGTCCAGCCTTCGTAGTAGCTTGCAACAACAACTTTTCCATTTAGCGCCAGAATAACTTGTCATGGTCAGGTGACCAGAAATAACAACATTTCAGAGGTTGACAGTCTTATCTTAATAAATCATTTTGTGTGGGGAAATATTACAACCTTTGTAGTCAAAATAAAAAAAGGAATGCTAATTGTGCTAAAAATAAGATAATAAGAGATTCTTCAATTGGTTTTAGTACAACTTTAAGAAAGTCAGTTTTGTACATTTCTTTGATGTTTAGATATAATTTCCATTACAAATACCCCTGTGAAAGTTAAATTTACTAAGTTAAAACTTATTAACCTTGTTATCAATTTATGTTTCCCACTTAGAGAGCCAATGTTTAAAAAAACATAACTTGAAAACAAAGGAGTCAACTTGATATGTGACATCGAAGAATGGTGAATGAACTATAGAGACTGTAATATACACCATTCCCACACATTTGTTAGACAGTATAATGTATCAAAAACGTTTCTATCATGTTCTAAGGTAATGTGATGTTTTTAGGAAATTAAATTAATTACAAATATTCCATCATATTTTTTGTTACTTTGATTAGTACAAATAATATCAGAAGTAACGGAGATTTATTTAGCAAAATTAGCAGTTTACCCTTCCTTTATATATCATGGTGTATCTCAGAAAATAAGATAGTCAAGCATGAGATCTTTTGGAGAATAATACTTTCGACTATGTTGATAACTTTGGTGGTTGAGATTAACCGAAACACGACAGTTACTTTTTCAAAATTTGAGAATGGGTGAAACTGCCTTATTTATCAGACTAATACATACAAAATATCAACATGTCGTGGATGATTGCATACCAAGATATGTATATGATTACATGATTACGCTGGGTACATGTATGTGTACAATACATTGTATGAACTGTATATTGGCGGACTCTGAAATGCTTCATCTCAAGATAACCAAAATGTGCCACACATGTATCGAAAACAGAATGTGTAGATACACATTAGTTTTACATTTTTTATAAAACTGACATCATGTGGCTATAGTACTCTGCGTAATAACAAACACTTATAACAAGCAAATAACAACCAAAAAAGTTTAAAAAAAAAGATGTCTTCCTTCAGGAATCGAACCCGCGACATGCCGCACCAGTAGCGACAAATCTGCAAACAGACCAACTGGTCAATTAAGATTATGGAAGCAACGAGACAGCAGTCAAGTCACAAGCATTTAGGAAAACCAGGAATTATTTTGTATTGCACGGAATGTTCAACACTTTAACACCCCTTCAAAACGAATAAACCCTTCTAATCCGAAAATGTAAACACTTTGGTCAACATTACTATTAAAAGTTCCTTTGGTCTCTCGTGCAGATATCAATATCACCTCATAGATAAAAATTATATTCCTCAAAATCATAGGATATCCTATAATTATCATGTAATATCACTATTATCAATAATATCGATAATATCATATTGTCAAGCGATAAAATCTATATTAGCAAATCATTAGTGATAATATCAGTATTATCAATTTACTGCTTGGAGCAATATTATCAAAATAGCTAGCAATAATGTTGATATTATCTGGTAATAGTAATTCCTTCAGTCCTATGTCAGAACCAACACATGCACACCTGAGTTAAGCATTATATTAATTAGGAGGCCCTCCTGAAAGGGCCTCCTATAGCTTTTGTAGCTTTTCTTTATTCTTCTTTATTCTTTATTCTTTATTCTTCTTCTTATTATTATTCTATCAAAGTAGTTTTCTCCTACTTTCAACTAGCTTTCAACTTTCTACTATATGCTCCTACTAGATACCTGGTTTGATCTTGATGGGAAAATATTTCATATCTAGGTCAAGGTCAAAGGTCAAAATCTAGGTCAAATCTACGTTTTTTTCAAGTTTCTCAAGTTTGTCCTTATACTTCAGTATTTCTTGCGATGAATTAAACTGAAACTACATTTAAGTATTCTCTACAAATTGTTCACTATATGTCAGCATTAAATTTTTACAGTTTTTGAGATATTTGACGTCAAAAAACGGTCAAAAAAGGTCATTTTTCAACTTGCTTCAATCTGACCAAATTTTTTTTTCAAAATCATCTACAAGTTCCCAGGAGTCCAAATCTGACCTCAGATTTGAACTTTGACCCTTAGTTGACCTTCAGTGACCTTCGAAAGGTCAGAAAAGTTGATTTTTCAAATTGAGTCTTTGGATTCAAATTTAGGTCAGTCTAATTACAAAAAGCCTACTGAGGTCTAAAAAAGTAAAAATTTCAAGGTCAAAGGTCAAGGTCATCAAATTAGGTCACAAACTGTGCTATCTAAGTTTCTCATAGTTCAAGACTACAAATCAATATTTTTAATTGAAAGTCAAGATATACATTCCTCTAAGGGTTTTACACATATTAGCAATTGACTATTTATTAAAATTTTGTCCCAGTTTTGAGATATAAGAGCTCAAAAATTGAAAAAGGTCAATTTTTCAGAGTTTATAAGGTCAAATTTTAACTTGCTTCAAATTCACCCAATTTTTTTTTGAAAATCATCTACACCTTCTCAGGAGTTCATATTTAACCACAGATTTGACATTTGACCTTTAGTTGACCTTCAGTGACCTTCGAAAGGTCAGAGAAGTTGATTTTTCAAATCGAGTTTTTGGATTCAAATTTAGGGTTAGCCTTAGCATAAAAGACCTACTGAGCTCTAAAACAGTTATATTTTCAAGGTCAAGGGTCACGGTTATCAAATTAGGTCAAAGGTCAAAATCTAGGTCAAATCTAATATTTTTTTAAGTTTCTCAACTTTGTCCTTATACATCACTATTTCCTGCGATGAATTAAACTCAAACTACATTTAAGTATTCTCTACAAATTGTTCACTATATGTAAGCATTAAATTTTTACCGTTTTTGAGATATTTGACGTCAAAAAACGGTCAAAAGAGGTCATTTTTCAACTTGCTTCAATCTGACCAGATTTTTTTTTAAAAATCATCTACAAGTTCCCAGGAGTCCAAATCTGACTTCAGATTTGACCTCTGACCTTTAGTTGACCTTCAGTGACCTTCGAAAGGTCTGAAAAGTTGATTTTTCAAATTGAGTCTTTGGATTCAAATTTAGGTCAGCCTAATTACAAAAGACCTACTGAGGTCTAAAAAAGGAAAAATTCAAGGTCAAAGGTCAAGGTCATCAAATTAGGTCACAAACTGTGCTATCTAAGTTTCTCATAGTTCAAGACTACAAATCAATATTTCTAATTGAAAGTCAAGATATACATTCCTCTAAGGGTTCTACACATATAAGCTATTGACTATTTATTAAAATTTTGTCCCAGTTTTGAGATATAAGAGCTCAAAAACTGAAAAAGGTCAATTTTTCAAAGTTTATAAGGTCAAATTTTAACTTACTTCAAATTCACCCAACTTTTTTCATCTACAACTTCTCAGGAGTTCATATCTAACCTCAGATTTGACATTTGACCTTTAGTTGACCTTCAGTGACCTTCGAAAGGTCAGAAAAGTTGATTTTTCAAATTGAGTTTTTGGAATC